GTGATTCTGAATAATTGCACTGAGACACCAACTATTTGGGATGCCGCACCTGGAGATGTTTTGAACAATTGGACTTGTACCCCGTCCCCGGTTCGCCGGGAGTCTTGGTAGATCGATTGTATTAGTACTTTTTTTAAACAACACGATTCAAAATTGAGGCCTAAATCGTGTCTATGATTTTTATGTTGTTTGCCTTGATCTTTTGGAAGCTTAAATGCAAAATCTGAATATGCTTTTTCGTTTTACATTTAAATTTTTTGTCTTTATTAATTTTCTTTCTTTTTATTTTATTTTATTTTTCAGCAAACAAATTAATAAAAATGCTGACACCGTGAATGTGACATGCAATGAAACAAGTGAACAAAATAACAAGCAAGATCTTGAAGAATATGAAGAAGACGTGCCGCCTGCAGAATTAACTAAAGAACTTGAGCAGTTTGAGAACAAGTCAAAACCAAATTTGGATGAAACAGAGCTTATAAATTTGGGAAATTCAGAGTCTATAAAAGAAACAAGAATTAGTGTCCATTTGACGCCATCAGAAAAGGAGAAATATGTGGATCTTCTGAGATAATACGTTGATGTGTTCGCTTGGTCGTATGACGACATGCCTGGTTAAGCACCAATATTGTTTCCCATAAGTTGCCAACGGATCCATCTTGTCCCCCGATAAAACAAAAAACAAGAAAATTCAAAACGGACTTAAGTTTGAAGATCAAAGAAGAAGTCTCCAAGCAATTTAAGGCAAATGTCATCCGAGTCACGAAGTATCCCACATGATTGGCCAATATAGTACCAGTACCAAAAAAGGATGGGAAGGTCAGAATATGTGTGGATTATCGGGATCTCAACAAGGCTAGTCCAAAGGATGATTTCCCACTCCCGAATATTCACATACTCATTGATAATTGTGCAAAGCATGAGTTGCAGTCATTCATTGATTGCTTTGCCGGTTACCACCAGATTTTGATGGATGAAGATGATGCTGAGAAGACAGCCTTTATCACACCTTGGGGGTGTATTGTTATCGGGTGATGCCTTTTGGACTCAAGAATGCAGGTGCTACATACATGAGAGCTATGACAACTATTTTTCATGACATGATCCATAAAGAGATTGAGGTCTATGTGGACGATGTCATCATCAAGTCACGAAAGAGTTCAGATCACTTGGTAGACCTGAAGAAGTTCTTTGATAGGTTGCGGCGGTACAATTTGAAGCTGAATCCCACAAAGTGTGCGTTCGGAGTTCCAGCTGGAAAATTATTAGGTTTCATTGTCAGTAGAAGGGGCATAGAGTTGGATCCTTCAAAGATAAAGGCTATCCAAGACCTGGCACCTCCAAAGAATCGAAAGGACGTGATGAGCTTCCTTGGTCGCCTTAACTATATCAGCCGTTTCATAGCCCAATCAACAATGATTTGTGAACCAATATTCAAGATGTTGAGGAAAGATGCCACTACCAAATGGATAGAGGAATGTCAACGAGTTTTTGATAGGATCAAGGAATATTTATCAAATCCACCGGTGCTGGTACCTCCGGAACCTGGAAGGCCGTTGTTGTTATACATGTCCGTATCAGATAATGCATTTGGATGTGTTTTGGGTCAGCATGATGAAACTGGGAGGAAAGAGCAAGCCATATATTACTTGAGCAAGAAGTTCACACCGTATGAAGCACAGTATACTTTGTTGGAATGCACTTGTTGTGCCTTAACCTGGGTTGCACAAAAGTTGAGGCATTACTTGTCAGCATACACCACTTATATCATTTCCAGGATGGATCCGCTCAAGTACATCTTTCAGAAACCTATGCCTACAGGAAAGCTTGCAAAGTGGCAGATTTTGCTAATTGAGTTTGACATCGTGTATGTTACTCAGAAGGCCATCAAAGGACAAGCGTTAGCTGACCACCTTGCAGAAAATCCTGTGGATGAAGAATACAAGCCACTTAGGACGTACTTCCCAGATGAAGAAGTATTATTTGCTGGAGAAGACATTTCAGAAGCATATTCAGGTTGGAGAATGTTCTTTGACGGAGCCGCAAACTTCAAAGGAGTCGGAGTTGGAGCAGTATTAGTTTCAGAATCTGGACAACATTATCCAATCTCAGCGAAACTTCGGTTTCCGTGCACCAACAACATGGCAGAATATGAGGCTTGTATACTTGGGCTCAGAATGGTCGTTGATATGAACATCCAAGAGTTATTGGTTATAGGTGATTCAGACTTGCTGATTCATCAAGTACAAGGCGAATGGAATACAAAGAATACGAAAATCCTACCGTACTTACATTGTGTAAAGGAGTTGTGTAAGAAGTTTATCAAGGTGGACTTCAAGCATGTTCCAAGAGTTCAAAATGAGTTCGCAGATGCTTTGGCAACTTTGTCTTCCATGATTCAACATCCAGATAAGAACTACATAGACCCCATCAAGGTGAATGTGCAGGATCAACCAGCTTATTGTTTCCATGTGGATGAAGAGCCAGACGGAGAACCATGGTATTATGACATTAATAGGTATCTCAAAACAAGGGATTACCCTGAAGGAGAAACCAGTACCCAGAAGAGAACACTTAGGAGATTGGCAAATCACTTTTTCCTAAACGGAAAAATCCTATATAGGAGGACCCCATATTTAGGACTATTGAGGTGTATAGATGCCAGGGAAGCAACCAAGTTGATTGAAGAAATACATGCAGGAACATGTGGGCCTCACATGAATGGGTTTACTTTGGCAAAGAAAATTTTGCGAGCAGGTTACTTTGGATGACCATGGAAACAGATTGCATTCGTTTTGTACAGAAATGTCATCAGTGTCAGATCCACGGTGATTTGATTCGAGTCCCACCAAATGAACTCAATGTGACGAGTTCTCCTTGGCCGTTTGCAGCTTGGGGCATGGATGTCATCGGCCCTATTGAGCCGGCCACCTCGAATGGGCATAGATTTATCTTGGTAGCTATTGATTACTTTACAAAGTGGGTAGAAGCCTCTTCTTACAAGTCAGTTACAAAGAAGGTGGTAGCAGATTTTGTCCACAACAATATCGTTTGCCGATTTGGAATTCCTCAGTCAATCATTACAGATAATGGAGCCAATCTCAATAGTAACTTGATGCGAGAAATATGTGATAAGTTCAAGATTACTCACCGAAATTCCACTCCCTACCGACCTCAGATGAATGGAGCCGTTGAAGCAGCCAACAAGAACATAAAGAAGATATTGCGGAAGATGATTGATAACTACAGGCATTGGCATGAGAAGCTACCGTTTGCTCTCCTTGGATATCGCACTACAGTCAGGACATCAACTGGGGCAACGCCTTATCTTCTGGTCTATGGAACTGAAGCCGTATTACCAGCGGAAGTTGAAAGTACCATCTTTGAGGGTCAGTCCAAGAGCCGAGCTGAGCAATGCAGATG